TATTCAGGACTACATTCTCGAACTTGTCTTCGGATAAATCTCTTCAAAACCTCGATAAACCCTCAGACTTTGTTAAGCACTTCGTGTGTAACACATCTCATTCATCATGTTCTGGAAGGTAGTCAGTGAATTGGTCAACAACATGACAAGGGGTTTGAAGGATCCTTGGTGGCACATGAACGTGGCCTTCCAAGCATCTTCTTCTTTGATGCGTATATTATTGTACCCCATCTGAGGTCCATCTTTGTTAAGATCTTGGCATCAGCCAACTTGTCTACTAGCTGACTAATTAAGGGCAGCGGATACATATTTTTAACCATGTACTCATTCAAGTAACAATAGTCCATAATCATATACTTTTTACCATACTTTTTAGGAATGAAAAACACCGGGGACGTCATAAGGCTTTTGAAAGGTCTGATGTAACCTTTTCTAAGTTGCTCATCTATGAAACTTGAAACCTCATCTCTTTCTGGAGCTGAGAGGGGAATCATGTGTCCCTTTCTAGGTTTGAAGGCACTTCAGTCACCCCCAAAACATAAGCATTTAGCTTCAACTATCTGTGTAAATGTATAAAGCTAAGAGCTTGTTTTTCCTGGTATCATCCCAAGTGCTCCAGCAAGGATGGGATCATTCCAGAAGCGGAATAATACCACCCTTCTGGGATTTTCCCATGGTATCAGACCATGTACCATAGTGGGATTATCCCTCAGATGGGATAATCCCAATAACCTGTCACATGTCACATGGTATCAGGGGGATTGGTGCTAATACTAACATGTGAGAATGCTGGGCCAACTAGTGAAGATATTTCCAGTCTTTTCCACCTGAATAATGGTACTTTAGCCCAATATAATCAAGACTATTTTGAAATATATGAGTTACAAGTTCCTCATTGTAGCTTACTGCAAATTTGGGGAGAAGCATTCCCTTTTTTTTTAAATGTGGAACATTATCAATTTCTAGATATAATCAATTGCAGGAACCATACACTAGAAAGATGCTGTTGTCCTTGCTGATAGATGTGATATGTGAGTTCTGCTTTTTTGCAAGGTTTATTATACCCTTAACTGAAGTAAAAACTAGGAAACACAACACAAATGCTGTGACAACAAAGTAATCTGCAGAAGGACATCGAATATTAGATTTACACTAGATCTGGCATATTCTGTGAGGAAAATCCTGACCTTGTAGAAAGTAAAACATAGTAAAAAGAAACATAAAGTCATGTTCTTGCAAAAACATGAATTTACCACTTTTGTGGCACTACCAAGGTATTTGATACCTTATATTGTACATTCTCTGAGAGTGGTTCCTGGGGGCTGCTGGCTGAAGGTCTATGGGGAGAGGGGGATGCTTGCTATGTACAGTATAATACACAAGATCTCCATTTTGATACTCCTACACTAGATGACTTGAGTGTGAGGATTAATTAGGCACTGCTTAGGTATTTAATACCTTGAGTTGTGCCATTTCTGGGAGCTACCAGCTGAAGGTCTAAGGGGTGACTGGTGCCTATATGCTGACTGTGTATAGTACAGTATCTAAGTCCACAAAGAATCTGAGTGCTGTAAAGGTATTCTTTTTTTAGATTCTTGAGAAATTGAAATGAATCCGGAAAATATTTTTTCATGCCAAGTAAGGTTTCTGCCAACATTCTCTGTCTCTCATATGATAGTGATGCTGTCTCACACCACTCTTTTTGGATTATCATTTTTATGGCAATATGTAGAACTCAGGTAATTTCCTTCAAAACTGATTCTGACCATTGACATTGCCCAACTTTTGATTTTTTTTACTGAGGATCATCCCACACTGATCTGGACAAATCCCTGAAATAGGGTGTGATCATCCCAGTTAAATCTGTACATGTCCCCACATAACATGGGGTTACCCACTTCTCACATGGACAAATACCAGAAGGGGGTGGGATCATCCCAGTTCAATATGGACAAATACCATAAAGGGATGGGATGATCCCAGCTCAATGTGGACAAATACCACAAGAGGATGGGATAATCCCAAGCCAATCTGGGATGATCCCAAACCAATCTGGGAAAATCCCAGTTAAGCATGGACAAATACCAAATGAGATGGGATGATCCCAAACCAATATGGGAAAATCCCAGCAAGAGATGGGATGATCCCAGTTAAGCATGGACAAATACCAAAAGAGGATGGGATGATCCCAATTGAATCTGGGAAAATCCCAGCAAGAGATGGGATGATACCAGTTTAACATGGACAAATACCAAAAGAGGATGGGATGATCCCAATTGAATCTGGGAAAATCCCAGTAAGAGATGGGATGATCCCAGTTGAACATGGACAAATACCAAAATAGGATGGGATGATCCCAATTGAATCTGGGAAAATCCCAGCAAGAGATGGGATGATACCAGTTTAACATGGACAAATACCAAAATAGGATGGGATGATCCCAATTGAATCTGGGAAAATCCCAGCTTAACATGGACAAATACCAAAGAGGATGGGATGATCCCAATCCACTCTGGGAAAATCCCAGCCAGAGATGGGATGATCCCAGCTCAACATGGACAAATACCAAAAGAGGACGGGATGATCCCAAACCAATCTGGGAAAATCCCAGTTTAACATGGACAAATACCAAAATAGGATGGGATGATCCCAATTGAATCTGGGAAAATCCCAGCTTAACATGGACAAATACCAAAGAGGATGGGATGATCCCAATCCACTCTGGGAAAATCCCAGCCAGAGATGGGATGATCCCAGCTCAACATGGACAAATACCAAAAGAGGACGGGATGATCCCAAACCAATCTGGGAAAATCCCACCAAAGGATGGGATGATCCCAGTTAAGCATGGACAAATACTAAATAAGATGGGATGATCCCAGCTCAACATGGACTAATACCAAAAGAGGATGGGATGATCCCAAACCAATCTGGGAAAATCCCAACAAGAGATAGGATGATCCCAGTTAAACATGAATTTGATATGGACCAATGCCTGAAGGCTAAAGCATCATCCCAAACCAGCCAAGGAAAGTCTTGGAAAGAGATGGGATCATTCCAGTTCAATCTGATCTAGAAAAATCTCCAAATTACATAGGATCATCTCACTACATCACAGACAAATCCAAGCAGGGGACAAGATCACCCTGAGTCAGAATAGGACAGGGAGATCCCACAACAGGAACAGAATTATCGAATAGCATGCTTAGGCTGCTGGTGACTCAGCATGACAGGGGAAAATACTCCTGAAATGCACTAAGGTTATTCTGTAACATATAATCATAGGTAAGTTCCCAGCAGCTTAAAATATTATTGTCCTTTTCCAGCAGTTTCCATTTTTTACATGTTGCAGTATTTTGTTTGTAAACCAACTATTATGTTATGGTAGGACCTGGATGAACCTAAGGTTGAACTGGGACAGTGATTCAGAGTAGCCCTCACGTAGGTTCATCCCAAGTCACATGAAATTGCATAAGCATGCAGAGCACACCTTTCAGCCATTTTTGTTTTCACAAAAATTTATAATCAATTGTATGCGTGGGGACATATAGTGGATAAAATGGGTGTTGGCTTGTGGATGCTGGGCTGCCACAAAGAGCCAGCAATTTGTCTCATGCAAGACATGTTCTGCCTTTGACAATGATGCAGCAGAGGGAAGGATAATGAATATGTAGTACTTACTCGGACTGGTATCTTTGTGCATTTTTCAGTTCAGGCACTTGGATAAAGCTGCACAATTCAAAAAAATATCATATCTTTTGGATCAGCACATTAAATGGATTTGTGACATATCTTTGCCTGGTTGCAAGAGTGTTACATTATTTAAAGTTGGATGAGCCTGAATGAGAGGTATTGTAATCCTGCAGATGTATATGCTTGGTATTGTCAAACATCTTGTATTCCTTTGACTATAAGCCATTTTAAGTAACATTGATAGAAATCCAGGGTAGATAAATCTACTTTGTGATATGCAGTAAATTATATGATAAGTAGGAATGACAAAGTTATATAGTCAGTTAAGGAAAAGAGATATGGTTGAATTATCTCCTAATCAACTGAATTAAATCAGGTTAATTTGTAAATGGTTATATGTCACAATTAGTTACACTAACCTTTGGTCAAAGTCTCCTCCATCAATCTATAGTATATGATATTACACTAGAAGCTGGACAAATTAAGGTTCAATTGAGAGTAAACACCATTTGAAATTTGTATATATGTTATAAATGATGAAAGCAGGTAGTATTGTATTCTGCTTCATGGCTATTAGTACTATTGATAATGTATTGATGTTGGCTACATTTATGCAGGAACTATTTTTGCAGTAAAGCCCCCCTGACACCATGTGACATGTGGCAAATGTCTGGGATTATCCCATCTAATGGGATTATCCCACCATAACAAATGGTCTGATACCATGGGAAAATCCCAGAAGGGTGGTATTATCCCACTTCTGGGATGATCCCATCCTTGCTGGAGCACTTGGGATGATACCAGGAAAAACAAGCTCTTAGCTTTATACATTTACACAGATAGTTGAAGCTAAATGCTTATGTTTTGGGGGTGACTGAAGTGTTTGAAGGTGTCCTTCAAATCTATAGCATGGGCCCAATGTTACACATGAAGTGCTTAACAAAGTCTGAGGGTTTGTCGAGGTTTGTAAAGAGACTTATCCGAAGGCAAGTTCGAGAACATAGTTCTGAGTGGAGGTTTTCCAATGGAAGTTGGTCTTCTTCTGAGTAGAAGTCTGATCTTAGGAGTCTAGCTTTGTAAGCGTAAACTGCGTAGAATCGTATTAGAGAATACTACTGCTGTTACATGGTATTTATAATGAAAAGGAATTGGTGATAGGAGTTAGATCCTATTTAGGGCAAGTCTGTCTGTTGAGGACTAAGTACTATAATAGGTACTGCAAATGCGAGAGGAACGGAAGTGTACGTGAAGGAAATGAGTCATTGGTCCAATGGTATAACCGATGAGTAAAAAAAAATGAGTAGTCCTTAAATGTCCAATAGAAATCGTAACACCCAAGGCTTAGCCTCTGGGAAGCGCTCTGATTTGTGTTTAGAAAAGACTTTCCAGAAGTCATGGTACTCTGGAGGTACCAGCCTCTTAATCTCTTCCTCAGGTTTCACCTCGTCATTGTCATTGTCAATCTTATCCAAAGATCTGAGTTTGGCATAAATGTGACCAGTGTTTATCCTTTCATCAAGCTCAGTTTGACAGACGTGACTTGGCTTACCCAAGTCATCACACTCCTGAGGGCAATGTGACAATGTGATAGCCCCTGTCTGCCAGTTGATCTCAGGATTGTGTTTAAATAGCCAGGTCCAGCCTAAGGTTAAGTTAATCTTCCCTAGTTGGGTAGCTTCAGCGGTGACTCATTCTCTGTGTCCTTGGTACTTGATAACAAAAGAACATTTGTGCATAATGCAACCCCCCACATTAAGTGTACCATCAACATTATAAATGGGAATAGACATATCTAATTTTACAAGGGGGAGTCCAACTTGCTCTGCCCAGACCTGATCAATGAAGATGCTGTTAGTGCCTGAATCAAGCAGAGCACTGGTTGGGTGTACTATGCCCTGGGCAAGGTCTTCCACACCAACATCTAAACAGATCTTCTTTTGGAATAAATACATGCGCATCAACATACACCTTGGGATTTCTGTGGAAAATGGCTCCAAAGAAGAAAAACCAAAAGAAACATGTTTTTCTACTTTAGTATTTTCTATATGTTTATTTTTATTTTTACCAGAATCAAGCACCCTAGTGTTTGTCTTGCCAGGGCCATGCTTCAAGGGAGATGCTGGTGCAGCAGTAGTATCATAAATATTACAGTCGCATTTTTGAATACAAGTACACACTTCTGATAACAAGTTTAGAAATCTATTTACAAATTGGGGAGCCACCCCCTTTTGTGAGGCAACAATAAACTATAACAAAAACACTACCCGTCTCTGACTGCACTTGCAGGGAGTAAGAGGTACAGTGAGTCTTGAAGATCGACAGATGCTAGTTAATATAGCAAGTAGAGGATATGGGAGTAAACTCAGAGGTTTCTGATGAGGAGTAAAGCGGGTAATTCAAGTACTAGAAAGCTAAAGAACAATACATGAGTATGTAGGGTTTTTATAGCTAACCGTCTATCCCTCAGACCGAAAGAAGAATAACAGGAAAGTGGTCTGAGGGGAAAATCAACCAATAAGAAAAAGGATAACTATTGTATGACTTTGACGATTAATCAGCAGGTGGGAAAGTGTACTAATAATAAGTGTTGTCACGCATGTTCAGGAACCGTTGTCATGCACCAAAGTTGATTGGTAGCATGGACAGGTGTCAATAACGAAGCGAATATTCAAAAAGACTCGCCTTTGCGCCACACAGGCACAGTGCCACGTGGAATAGTAATTAATATTGCCCTTTTTGAACTTGTGGCTGATCAGCACCACCTCTATTAGGCAATCCAGTCACGCTCACCTTTGCTTTTCCATCCGGTACTTTCGGCATTTCGGCATTTCGGCAAATTTTCGCGTCGCCACTGGCTACACATTGCATTGCGCCCTCGCTTTTGTCGTTTCCCTTACTCCCCTTCCTTTGCCTAGCCCCACCATGGGCCCCTTCCTCTCCTTTTTATTCTCACCTGACGGTCGTTTCTGGATCCCCATTCTAATCCACTTGTTTGTCACCTCCACCCTCCTCCTCCTCATCTTATTTGCACCCCCACCATTTCTGATGTCACCACTTCCTATCCGCTTCCGTCGCCGATCCGTTGACTACCACGTGCCACTGCTGATATCAGCAAAGCCCCGGCGGCCGGTCCAAATAGGGCAACAGGTCCATCTTCATGACGTCGATCTGCCATCATATACTATCAAAACATCGGTCGCTCGTCTTGCCTGGTTGGAGCGTGGGTGGGTAGTTTTTGAGCTGGAGAAGGTTCATCCCCTTGCGTTGCCCATGTTCATCGCTGTCCCATTCACTTGGGTACACTTATCTTTTGTCCATCGTCTTTGCTACAGCTACACCTACCACACGCTGCCTGGGACTCACTTGTTCCAAATTGGAACTACTCCTCTCCCTCCCTCGTTTGATCAGGTGGTCCAACACAACCAGTCCATTGGTAAGGCCATGGAACTGTCGGATTTGGACTAGGTGGTGGACCGGTGGCTCCAGTTTCTTTTTCTTCAGCAGAACATTCATTTACAGTGCGATTATTTTTGATTTTTGAATCATTTTTATGGACACATATTTTTGTAGAATGCCTGACTGACAATAAAGGAACTGTGTTGATACTGATAGTGTTTTGCCTTGCCCTTTTTTTACTGCATCTTCCCATGACATCATGATTTTCCTGCTCTCTTTTTGCTCTTGGACTTTACTTTATGGCTGTACAAACCTGTGACATTACTCACAGCATTCATTGTTCTATCTCTTTCTTTTCCTTTTTTTGACAATCTTATCCTGTACTACCTACGCAGGATTCGTCAGCATACATTCCTTCCTTCATGTTCTTTCTCATTCTTTTTGCACAGCTATACTGTGCATAGCCTACTTTTCTTTTACTATATAAACCCCTGTATTTTACCTTGTAAAAAAAACAACAAGAAATCCAATCCAGACTTCTTCTCTACTCTCAAGTTCACTACTCTGCTACTTGTGATCCAGTGTGGTCACAACACTTCCCACTTCTACCACTGTCAACTGCTGTCATCGTCACTTCCCACTTTTGAAGTCATTGTCATCCCTTTCAATTAGAGTCCTTCTGAGCACTACAGTTTGTGCGTCAGGAGCCTGCTATCACTGGGAACCTCGTCACCTTGTCATCCTCGTCGTTCTCAAACCTACCTTGTGCTACCATTAGCAAGGTAGTGCTCGTCTATACTCGCCACAAAGCACCCTATCTTCCTATAAATCAACTATCCCTCCTCCTCAAAACCCACACTCATACACCCTGGGTTTTACTTTGAAGGATCTTTATACGTACCACCCCACGAACAACCAGACCACTCCACTGTTCTAGGAGGCAAAGCCCATAAACAAGTTCCGTGGAATCTGGGAGGATTGTGTGTTAGTTTGTTTTGTGTGTGGTTTTCTAACTGCAGTTCTTATCATCGACACCGTATCCTCATGATGAGGTACGATCCTGACTAAAGCGTCTATTAGTATCTCCAGGCACTGATGGGGCTTGGAGCTGGTTGGCGAAATGTCTACCACTAGCCTTTACCCATTGTGCTGGCTGGCTGGGGGTGATACCCAGTCTCTGATCTGCGATATAAAGTGGTAACAATGGTTGAGAAAGCCTGTGAGGGCTATGAGAAGTAGAATAGCAAATGATACCTCCAGCCCTAGAGCCAGAGGTGTAATGGGAAAAGTGTTCGAAAATCAAGACATAGAGAAAATAATAAATGGTCCTTACACCTTTCCTTTATTGCTCGTGCAACACCCCAGAGTAGGGGCCACCTTGTTGTGGTTTATTTCATTGTTAAGAGGAGCAAAGGTACCCAAGTGACCTAAGCCCCAAACTCTTTTCCCTGGGCCTTCAATTCTGCAACCTGTTGGTCGTAAAAGAATGCTCGGATTTTGTTGTACGAATGACCAGCCAGAGTGTTGTGCAGATTGTCCAGCTTCTCCATTTCTGATTGGTGTTACGATAACACAATTTTGGACCTTTAAATATCATTCTCCTCTTCAGCTTTCTTCCGTATTTTTCACACACTGTGCCATGCAGCACTTTCCATTTTGTTCAAACTCCACCTTCTCGTGCTGCACTGCCTTTCTTTATTTTTAGATACAAGTATCTCACACAGTGAAGCTGGTCACACGGGCTGTGCCCTATGACATCATCAGCCACTGCCTCTATCAACTGTATAGTACATATGTACAAACAACCTATAGTAGTATATATATACCCCAATATATCAAGGAGACTCCTCAGCAATTCCTCCTGTTGTTTACCCACAACTAACTTGGTCCTATCCTAAGGGTAACTACTCCCCTCACTACCTTTATAGCTTTGTCTGAGTTGTGCACCAGAGTACACCAGAGTAACTAAACTCAAACTAATCAACAATAGTTCCGCACTAATGCTGAACTAAAGTACTCCCCTTAACACTGGGGGCCATGTATATTTGTTTAATTCTCTCTAGTACTGCAGGATTGGGGCACACACTTTGTTTCCATGGCTAGCAAATGCTCAACACCATCTGGCACCAAAGTCTTACTGTTCGAATGTTACAATAACACAATTTTTGGACCTTTATATTTCATTCTCCTCCTCAATTTTCTTTTGTAGTTTTCACACCCTGTGCCATGCGGCACTTTCTATTATTTGTTCAAACTCCACTTCTTGCGCTGCACTGCCTTTTCTTATTTTTAGATACAAGTATCTCACACAGTGGAGCTGGTCACACGGGCTGTGCCCCATGATATCATCAGCCACTGCCTTCATCAACTGTATAGTATATATGTACAAACAACCTGTAGTAGTATATATACCCCAATAGATCAAGGAGACTCCTCAGCAAGTCCTCCTGTTGTTTACCCACAACTAACTTGGTCCTGTCCTAAGGGTAACCACTCCCCTCACTACCTTTATAGCTTTTTCTGAGTTGTGTGCCAGAGTAACAAACTCTTGGTTGTTACATCGAAAGACGTCTACTTAACCCTGCGCTCCGGGTTTGCACAAAGTGCGAGAGAGTAAGAGAGTGAGTCCTAATGTTACAACCAAGGGTTTGTATACTCTGGTGCACAACTCAGACAAGCAAAGAGGAAGTGAGTGGGAGTGGTTACCCTCTTAAGATAGGATTGAGTTAGTTGTGGATAAACAACAGGAGGACTTGCTGAGGAGTCTCCTTGATCTATTGGAATATATATACTACAGATTGTTTGTACATATGTACTATACAGTTGATAAAGGCAGTGGCTGATGGTGTCATGGGGCACAGCCTGTTTGACCAGCTCCGCTGCATGGGAGACTTGTGCTAAAATAAGGAAAGGCAGCGCAGCGCAAGAAAGTGGAGTTTGAACAGAATGGAAAGTGCTGCATGGCACAGTGTGTGAGAACTACAAAAGAAGGTTAAAGTGGAGAATGAAATTTAAAGGTCCAAAAATTGTGTATCACAACAGAGGGCACTAATATCCAATGGTTGTTCTAGTTGCACCAACATGACAACTTATTCTGTTGGTAAGGTAATAAAAATGTAACTGGTCCCCACTTGCTATCTGCAGATCTACCTCTTCCCAGCTGGATATTGGATCTTAATCTCTGACTACCCACACTATAGTATTTGAAATTTTATATAAAAGTTATAATAATAAACCCTAGTCCAAACAGTTGTTAGGGGGTAGTCTGCTTGTTAAGCTGTCAACCCTTTTACAAACTAGCAGAATTAAGTGCCCGGCCTGGTCAGAGGAACACAAAAATATATTTTGGTAGGTAAATATAATCAGCAATGGTTCCACACCACTGCTGAGCTATAGTACTCCATTTAACACTGGGGGCTGTGTAATATTTTATTTGATCTCTTTAGTACCTCGTCCTGAGGAACTCACCTGTAGGATTGGGGCACACACATTGTTTCTGTGGGCTAGCAGACCCTCAACACCCAACTGGCACCAAAATCTTACTGTTTAAAAGACTCCACTTCACCCTGTGGTCCAGGTTTGCACAAAGTGCAAGAGAGTAGAAAGAGCGAGTCTTAATGTAACAACCAAAGTTTTTGATACTCTGGCACACAACTCAGCTCAGACAAGCAAGTGTGAGGGAAGTAGGAGTGGATAAACTCCTTAAGGTAGAACATGGGTAAACAACAGGAGGATTCACTGGGGAGTCTCCTTGATCTATTAGGGTATATACTACTACAGTTGTTTATGTACTATATGTGTATTATACAGTTGATGGAAGTGATGTGAAATCACAATGAGACTCAATAATTAATTGCTTGTGAACACTTCAACAGGTAAGTACTCTCTTCTCATTGCCTTAAAATAAAAGTAAAGTACATTCAGGCTGTTGACTATTTTCTTCATTGCCTGCCAACAGTGACATCTCCCACTTCCAGTTGGAAAAAATGGGCTGGCAAGTTCTTTAAGATCTGGAGGTTGTATTAGAGGCAAGTAGCTATAATCTTGTTGTTGTGCTCTGACAAGACTTCTGTGATGCAAGATTCCACATGCTACTCAGCAATGTATGTCTGGTGAAACTACCCCTTTACTCAGTGATGCTATTCCAGCATTTGAAACAACTATTATGTGCAATGGGGACACCTGGGACAAGCTGCACCATGATGCATGCCTTTTGTCAACATTGGTTTAGAATGGATAAAGTAACACTACAAGTACATGGGTAATACTCATGCTTAAATGATTACTATGCATAGGTTCCAGCATTTCTTCTGAGTGCATGCTCCTTACTAATGTAATGTTTCAATAGTTGTGGATCCCACAATCCAAATGTCATGGACCAACAGGTACTGGAGCCCCATTAAAGTCAGGATGTTGGAATAAATATGTTGAGTCTTGAGTCAAGCTGGTGCAAAGTGCCTAGAAAGGAAGGTGTATAAGTTTGGGTGGCCCGTGCACCACTATATACCATCATTTCTTTTTGATTCTATTATTTTACTTACTTATAAAGAGGGCCTGGTTGCCAGGCATCATCTCAGACTCTGTAACAAGATCTGAGGTGAGACCCTTTACATTTTTCCCCCTTTTCAATACCTAGCTGATTATTAGTGTAGCTTCTTATCTTATCAATAGGTACTTACTTGAATGTATTCTCAGACTCTGTAACAAGATCTGAGCTTCTTATATTATCAATAGATCAATCCAAATGACTTGAGAGGATACCAGAAATAGCATCAAACAGCTGGTGTGTTATGTTTTACCTACATACTGAATATACTGTAGGAGCAAGTCAACTTTATCACCACAAAGTCTTCCACCTGCCAAGAACAATCCTCCTTAAACATTTACAATACTGGCATCACACTACAGACTGCCTGGTATGGAAATCCAACGATCACATAATGGTGTGCAGACTGTCAACCAGGAACTGAATGTTTATGTTATGCCAATCTCAGCCTTGAAGGAACAAATTTGTTAACAATTTGGAAGGTAAGTCCACTTGTCTGTTCCATTCACTTGCTTCTGCTAATATTAAATAGGTGTCATGTAGCACATACCCTACACTTTTTTCAATTGCCATGGATTATCTCCCAATCCAAGCATCATTGTTCCCCTGCAAGCAATTCAAATTACCATATTAATCCAAATTTACTATCACTGATGTTTGCTAAGTCCATTCTGCTGAATTCATCTCAAACTGGTACTCCAAATACATATATGTTTGAATCTGTAAAAATATGCAAGAAAGAGACAATAAATATATCATGTGCAATGACAATCTCAATCATGGATTTCAGCAGTATTCCCTACATGCTAATGAGTCACTTGCTCACTAATTTTTGCAATATGTTGTTGTTTGTCCACACATCCACATACCCACCCAAAATTTTAGGTTAGTACAGTATATGCCCACCACTTTTGTTTCTCTAATTGTCTTCACAGATCCCTAATAAATGTGGGTTGTGCAAATATAGCCAGCAATAGAGGCTCCTCTGCCAGAGCACAAGGAGCCTCAAACAATTGTAATTGAGAGCAATAATACAGTGAGGAGTAGACAGAGAAATTGACTTCAATGTTCTTTGTTGTGATAATCAACATATAATCCTTTCCGACTTCATTTTCTGGTTCACTTGTCTGTTATCTCTGTCATTGTCCTCCTCATCTCTCTTACATTTGATGGCACCTATTGCTGTCCCTTCTTTAGTTGCCATTTTTGAATCGCATATAAAGTTTCTAGTTGCAGTCATTCTAGATTTGTTTACCTTTTTCTTCTTTTCTGAAAACCCCTTGAACACCTTGAGCTACTGGCACATGCATACGATAGGAACGAGTAAAATTAGCTAGGATCGCCGGGGCCAAGGTGATGGCCGTGCGATTTAATCAGAGGTGCAATCAAGAAATTTTACCGTTTTCGAGCTTGCATATTATTGAGCCCCACCGTAGCTCTGGGGAAACACCAGTACAATCGTTACAAATTTAATTACTATCATCAAGACCGTAAGCAAACCCCAGGGCTACTCGTGCAGCAGCCTTCCTGCGCTCTTCATCTGGAAGTTGAGCGATTTCCTCTTTCAAGCCTTGTAAGACACCTAAAACATTCGTGAGGTCAAACGGTTGGGACTCGAGACCTGTAACATGTGGAACATTGCTTGGAGTACGTGGACCAGATGCACCAGACGGGCGGGCAGTCTGCGCGTTACGCATATCAGGGAGCCCTGCTCCCACACCAACGTCATCAGTGGGTGAGATAGATATCGGAAGAGACCCAAAAATGCGCTGGGAAGTGGCACGAATTTCAGCCTTGCTTGGTAGTACGTCGTCATCGTCACTTTCTCCAGATCCAAATACATCACGATCAAGAAGGAGGTCAATACTGTTATCATGGTCCTGCTCGTTCTCTTCGCCAAAGTCGGATACCGAACCGAGGGATTTATAGGCTATGCCAGAGTAGGAGTGAGGCGCAAGAAAGCCATCATCCATGGTGGGAGTCGAACGTCCGGACTTTGGTTTGGCCGGTGATTCGAAACTGTAGGTGGAGCCGAAACTGGATGATTCGGGAATGGAAGCCGCTTGATTTGATGCAGAAGAGGGCACAGAAGGGGATGGCTGGGGGAGTGGCAGAGATGAGACAGAAGGGGCGGATAAGAATACCGTGAAGTCGTCTTCAAACCCAAATTCAGAGGCACTGACACCGGTTGTGGGTGGAAACCCAGAGTGGTGACTTTGATCTTCAGGGTGCGGTGTCCTACTACCGCTTGTTGCAGGTCCCCACATATCTTGATCATCGTTATGGGACGTTGAAGACTCAAACCTACTGCTGCCATTATGCTCAACACCGAGCATCTCGTCATTGTCTGAGTCGGACTCTGAACCCCCTTCTTCCAGCCACCGTTCCAGTGCTTCCCTCTGTACTTGTGCTTGCGCCTTTTGCTCATGTGTGTCAAAGCTACCAGAAGTGTTAATTAGGGTACTGAGCTCCTCTTCGTCTCCAATAAAGGGGGCGCCAAGCATTCTCGATGTCCGTCCCACAGCCTTAGAATTCTGTACCATCGACGGCCACATGATTGTGCTTAACGCGTCGATTATGCGCGAAAGCCCAGGGATGCCTGTGCAGCATTACGCACCGGTCAGATAGTAATACATAACATAGCTTTGAGCGTGCTATTGACAGTGCTCACCATGTGTCCTAGCATCCAGATGCGGATCCGATGTAGATTTTTCCACGTTGTCCTCTCGGATGTCGATAAATTCGAAACCATGAGAAGATAAGTACTCGTCAATGTCCCCATCTTCTTCTCCTGTTGCTTCTGAGGTTTCTGATGATTTCGCAGGAGGCACTGATTGAGGGGCAGACAACGATGTACCAGCCGAATGATGAACTCTAACTGCAAGAGAGACTTCAAAGTCATGGCCAGACAAGCTTTGGGAAAGTAACTCGATGTATTCTCGATAAGGCTGCACCCCAGTTTCAGATTGGCAGAGGCAGTGGATAAGGTCATCAGAACAATGAGAAAGCCACAAATCGGGAGGACCTGAAAGGAAAGCGTACCTCTTCAGCAAACCACACGAAGATGACAGCAGGAACGCCCTGAACATGTACATTCTGGGCTATAAACTGATCGGGGAGCTGATGCAGCTGAAAGTGCACATCAGCTGTATAGTACTTGTTGATAATTTTCCAGGGCACAGTCAGCTGCTCGTCTTCGCCGACGGAAATTGGTTTTTTCAGAACATCTGTGGGGCATCATCGAGGACAAGACTTGGGATGAAATAATAATGCAAAGATGAAACGTGGAGCGTACTTTCCAAAAAACAAATAGCCTCTTTTTTTGAGGAAGAGAAGACAGCAATGCAAGAGCCGGCTTCTGGTCCTGGATCCATGGTTCTTGAAACCGAGCGTTGCTTTATCGTTAGCTTTGAGCTCCAGATCTTGACAAGCTCAAGCTAGCCTCGAATATCTGCAGCCGGCGTGGCTGCCATCTGCTCCCTGTCGTTTACAGAAACAGGGTGCTATACAAAGTCACGTGCCATGGCATGCAGTACCTGTCTCGCGATTTGCCGACTTTTCACCATCCAGTATGTTTCTTTTTTTTCAACTGAGTCCTTTCACCGTTACTTATTCTTGGATTTACAATTCATGAATTTTATAAAATGCGAGAGGAAAGGAAACAAAGTTTTTTTTTTTTGTGCGGACGATGGATTTGCCTTATAACTGTGCATGACCGTGAAAATATGCCGTAACGCGCATGTAACACGCAGTATGCCGACGGTCGAAAGCAACGGAACCTTCTATCTTCTATACTCTCAGCATCATTTCCTACGAAGTTAAGTGCAGTGGGTATGTACAAAGGCCGCATCACAGATTTCTCTCTGAACCGACACACACAGTGTTACCCGCGTCCGCCTCACCGCGCAAGGAATTGAGGTATTCTCTCGCCCTGAACCTTTAGCTGCTATGGTGTTTCAAATAGTCATGCAGGAACTTGAAGGGCTCCCTTTGGAGTCCTCCCCCAAAAATGGTGGCATGGCCTTAGAGCTGAAGAGGTATGATAATCAAATGTATCTGTAAGCCCTCCTCTTCCCCGAGCGATACCTCGCTGCCGCGTGCTGTGATTTCGTTCCCCGCGACAGATGAATGAGATTTAGTGCGCAAGTTGACAAAAGCTGACGCACTGAGTCGGGCACACTGGTAGCCTGCTTTCTTTGTTTACCACCTGATCAGGTTCCTTCGCTAACAAAACCCTGCGAACGATCTACAATAACAGGAATCATTTGGACGGCCCCTTTAAAAAGGACCTTCCGTTTTGTTGGAAAATTCGTCATTTCAATTGCTTTTTGTACCTAAATTTATTTAAGTTTTATGCACCAGGTCTTCTAAGATGATGCGGCGGCGGCTGGAAGTCTCTGCGGATGAACAGTTTATAGTTCAAATCGGCAGGGAAACAGCGAATTGTACTTGTCTCGTGTTGCTTTTCGCTTGCGGAAATTATGAGGAAAAGAGCTGAACTAGCCACTGGCATCTTACAGTTTGATCTCAGAAATCTCGATCCGTTCGTGGGGCGATCCTTGATCTCAAAGGGGATTGTCATTGGTCCCAAGGCTTGGTTTTCAAATAGAAAACAGAAAATTGTATTACCCTCATCTGCTTCCTTGATCTCTTAAACGGTGAAGCCGTATAACCATGGAACCTAGTGCGGAGACCGCCAACTTCCTCTGGTTCTTAAGAGCGGGCGGTAACAAGCTGGTTGGTACCTTCCTTCGTTCCCCCTTGCAATCCAACTGTTATCTTACCGTGGAGAGCTGCTCTCCTCGTCACATTACGCTGTTCGCTAGGCATCCCGCGGGAGATTAATAAAGATGGCACTGGGCCCTGCTGAAGTCGCGTGAGTTGAATATATGTTATCTCATTTAATATCACTCGTTAATGCTTTGGGGGTAGTCATGGACCGTTTCTCATCGGCGTTATTCTCAACGTCGCTTTGTATGGTATCATGATCACGCAGACTTTCTTGTACTTCACAACGTACAAAAAGTATGTCATCTCCTTGAATACCACCTCCTACTTATATCGAGTGCGGCACTGTTCTATCCAGAGATCGGCTTTGGATGAAGTTTTTCGTGTGTTCTATCTCGTTCTACTTAACGTGATTCGCTGAAAGTCGTATTTCATTGGCGACTTAGGTTTCCTTCCTGTTCATCGCAGACACAGTCAACGCAGTATTTGACATTGTATATATCTACGATTCTCTCGTCGTTCATTTTGGTCAGTGCTGTGCCCTGATTTCCTGCCAATAACTCACCTTTCATCGCCGCTTAGGTGATGATACATACCTCGCAACAGCGAACTGGGGTTAGTGTTGTCTGTCATGCTATCTGTTCTATATACTAACGTATTCCACTTGCACAGTCTTTGGAACAGGTAGTTGGCAGCGTCTTCTCTATGCTAACTGGCTAAAGATGAATCTTACTTCAATGTTACATCAGATCCAGCAATGACGGTGTGTGCATTTATCACTGTAGTTACGCCATTGCCAAGATTGTATCATAATCTTACAGGGTATCATCGGTTCCATGGTTCAAGCCTTTTTTGCTTGGCGCGTGTATATCATTTCAAGAAATTTATGGACAACCTGTGCTATTCTTGGTTGTGCTGCAGCAGGGTGTCTCTGCTCGATTGGCACTTCGATTGGCATTGGCATTGTCCCCCAGTTCATCGAGTTTCAGAAATTTCAAGTCGTTGTTATTATCTGGCTCGTGTGTGCTGCACTTGGGGATGTCCTGATCACCATCTCACTCGTTTGGCATTTGGTACGTTGATCCATCATGTCAATGATATATTTGATTTGATTGGTCACTTCTAGAACACTCACAAAACAGGCTTTTCATCCACAGACGATGTTATCAATCGTATCGTGAAACGTGGGTATATCTTCTACTCTTGAACTAATACCAATATCATGGGAACTATTCATTAGTCACCGTACAAACTGGGTTCATTACCGCCGTATGGGCTGTAGTTGACCTAGTTATCTATCTTACCTTTGTAAGTCCTGACTATAATCATATATCTTGACTTTGCTGACTGTATTCTTTTGTTTTGTCGCAGTCCACTGGACTGTAAGTTAATTGATTCTCCCCATCTGCCAACTCATAACCTTACTCATTTTAGTCATCTAATCTTCAATGTCACACTATCAAAGCTTTATACCAACTCGTTGATGTCGAGTCTCAACTCTCGAGGCGGATGGAAATTCACGCAGTCCAGTGAAAATAGCACCACCCATAAAAGTGCACATAGAGGTGTAAGTGTGCGCTCTCATCAAATTTTCCATGTACCTATGAGAAACTTGAGTAATTACTGAATTCTTGGTTGCGTAGGCGGATGTTGTGCAGCTGGCATCGACAGCACGTCCGGAGGTAGGCCTTCATTAAATATATCATTTTCGCATAACTATACGCGCTTCTCTCCAGGTATTTGTCCACGTCGAGTCTCACCAAATGGTAGACCTGGAAGACCTGGAAGACAGTAAGTCACCCAATGATATCTTCCGCGAAACCGGCCACTCGCATTGGGACAGTAAGGGTACTGTGGGAAGCGAAGGGAGCATCGTATAGTGTTGCTGGAGGTTTTTTCCTGGGCACGCTGGCACGTCGCTATCCACCCACCGTAGACGCAATGAATCAGTTTTTCGCTTATGGTTTTCTGTGTATCCACATGGTCTCGGCTGTACGATAAAGCTGCAAAATTCCACAAAAGGAGATACTGAGGCTTACCGTCTTCGTGAGACACCACAGTATTCCTCCTCCAAATGATAATACGCTGTTAATTACTTAACCCCCCGCAACCTTCGAAGTTAAAACTTTCGTGCGTGCCATCGGCGATATTGTACTTGGTATTTACTTCGGGCAAGACTACGCATCGGATGACACTCAGCAAGATACAAAGGTACTTCTTGTCCTTCTTGCTCAATTTGGAGTGACATAACTAGCACCCTCGTCTGTTTCGACAGTCTTGCATGAATGCGTGGTCCTGATAAAATTTGTAGCGATCAGGGCTTTCCAATTAGATATTTTGGTGATGGATTATCAAATCCGCCTAGTAATAGCAGCCCCTTCCCGGTTTCCCGACGACTAGACTGCCATACCAGTGAATATACTATTGGACGAAGTTCTCTGCGTATGTATCAGTTCTAGATCTATTCGCCTAGGAGATGTTCGAACGTGAATAAATAAATAAACATTACGGTGCTCTTTTTTAGAGGTACTGCTAGGCTAGTAGCTACTAACGTTACATAAAGGATACTGTATCCCTCCCGATCATAGGCGACTAACCATCAATTCTCTCTCGATGCTTCTGCCCTGCTTGGCCCACAGTGTCTCCCTTGCTGACCTAATTCAATATGATAGTCGATCGATATATTAATACGTGCATTGCGCTACTGCGGTTGAGATGGGAGTACCCTTACCTAGGCTACTATAGTCGTCGGCGTATGGCTCAGCGAACGGGGCATTGGGCAGCCTGACGGATAGATCGGGGAACGGAGCAGTACATTGCACCTGACTGAACAAAAAACGTCTTGACCATCCTTAAAACAGACTTGACATTGTACGGGGAAAGAAGCGAGGTGACAGACAGTTCGTTGGCGAGCTTCGGGAGAGCTTCGGGGGTGGCGTCGCGCAACGAACTGGACGTGCTGGGGAGACGAACAGAGGGAAATGACATAAAGAGAATTCAGGGGTCCTATCGTTGCCGACAGCGAGCAGGCAAAGCCCATCATTTGCGCCATATTAACAGACTCTTCCTCTTCATCCATTTTGGCTGGTACTGGGACCGCTAAGTGGACGCCAGTTGCGCTGGCCATTCTCCCTTGGAGGACCGTCGATTTTCATTTATTTCGGTCGGTACCAGTATCATTAAGTGGACATCAGTTGTAGTGACTATTTCTTCTTGGAAGACCGCCAGTACTGATGTCACTAAGTGGACACCAGCTGCGGAAGCTTGTTCCTTTTGCAGGACCGCCGATGTTTTGTATATTTTGCGAGGGGCATCGCTGCTACTCTCAAGCGAGTCAGGTATATCTTCATGTTTTTGTAAGTCTTCTTCTTTACACCTATCATCGGTCTTCACGACAACCACAATTTTCTCTTCACCCTCTGTCATATTCTGAGTAGGAGAAGACGGGGAAGAAAGTAAACCAGTGGCAGGATTTTCTTTATCTGCTTGGATCGTGATGCTTGAGAATGGCTTGAGAGAATGGGGGCTTATCTCTTATATTCATCTATACCGGCTATCCAAGGATCAGGTCCAAGAGGTATATTGACTTTAAGTCGGATTATCCTCTGTGCGATGGCTTGGTGACTACAACAGGTTTCTGGAACGAATTAACAGATGACTTGGTTTCTGGACGGCGGCTGACAGACGAGCGATGCCAAACCCTTTCACTACACCCTTGGTATTGAAGCCGGTGGAAGCCCTAATTTTAAAAGGTACTGTGGTAGGAGTAAGAAGACGAGTAGGTTTCGGGCTAGCGAGGGTCTTGATATCCCGAGCACGAATGTTCTGGACCTCTACCGGATTCTTTTGAATGGTCGCAAGCGGCGGACGAATCGTTCGGGAAAAAAAGGAAACAGGAGTGCAAGGCAATTGAGAGCGAGGCTTCCGGACGACTCTTTCGGTGTTCACAGTGGGTATGACGTCTCGATTTCGAGTTGACGAGCGCATAATATGAACTTCGGCTTTAGAGACATTCTTTGCGATGCTAATGAGAGTGTCTCTAGTAACAGAGAGAATCGACAACTTAGAGGGAGGAATACTGCTGGGCCTGGTAATTTTGTTGGTCGTAGCAGCTTTCCTAGCTGCGGCTCTTAGCATGGCCTTGTCTGCGTTGGAAATCATAGTGTCTGAACTACGACGTCATGATTGAACTTCTTAAAGAGCGATGATGGCTTACTTGGAGGATATTATACATGCAGGATAGACGAGGTTAATATATACAAGAAATCTCGTCTAGGACTGCCAGGCTGGCTGGACACTTGCTCTAGACCTTGACGGTTTTGTTTCCATACTCGTACGTCTATCGTCCTCGTGTCAGCCTCTCGTAGGCCTTCAGTTCGTTATTGGCTGAGGGTGAAACAAATACTCTTCATGAGTGCTACTCATACTATAGTGGGCTCGAAGACCGCGTAAGCTGTCAAACTGAACTAAAGAATTGGCAAGGTGCTACGCCAATCATCATTGGATTTGTGATGAGTTTCAAGTGTAGCTTACCTTACGGCCCAAATCCTTGACTTTTTAAACGAAATCTTTGCCCAAAAAACCACCGTATCGATGCTCCTACGAGAGATCGACCTTATGCAGGTTCAAGAGTTACATTAACTGATATGATATGATTGAAGGACCATGGGTTCCGTTCAGGGGATAGTCCTCTCACTGGTCCAACTCTAGGCTTGCATATTGCTTGTTTGTAATTGTCGCGTGCCCGCATTGCATATGTTTCCCCGTTGTTTGGAGAGCTGAGGAGATGTGCCTGACGTATTTTGGCATAACGTATACTATGCATGACTGTGGTTCGTGGCAACTTCGTGCACTTGAGTTTAGTAACGTGTAGTAACGTGTTTGTGTTGCACGCAAGCGAGGCGTCGATTAGATAGTGAGAGTTCTTAACATTTCTGGTTTTACTTCCAGAACATTCGCCTATTTACCATAAACACTCATCCAACAAGTGCGATTCATCATATAGCTCTTTATCTCGTTGCACATCTTGCTCTGAACCCCCAAGACGCTCACCAACATGCCTCTCAACTATTCAAAGTGGGATCAACTTGAGCTTTCTGATGATTCTGACATCGAGGGCCATCCCAACGTTGACAAGCGTTCTCTCATCCACTGGAAGCAAAGGGATATCCATGAAAAGCGCGAGGCCCGTAAACATCACATTGTCGCCCTTGGCGCAGAAATCGCATGCAATCGCGTCCTCCAACCTCGCCTCATCTCCATCGCCACAGGTGTCTCAGAAAAGGGCCCTTCTCATTTCTCTAATCTCGTCGAGCAATTGCAGACCAACCCTAGTCCAGATGCGCCACCGACAAATGCCCCAGGCCAGCCAACCTACGACGCTATGATCCTGAGCTTGTTACTCCAAATCTGGGAGGAAGCGAAGAAAAACGGTGTGGGCAAGGACAGCGACAAACTTGGGGATGTCCTTCATGCTGGGATCGAAAATCATTTAAAACAGCTTGAAGACCACACTAAGAAACTAGAGAAAGATCTTGAAGAGGAAAAGAAAGAGCAGAAAAAGCATATCACAAGTGAAGACATACATGAAGGCTTCGAATCCAAGGTATGTAGTTATTCATATACAGCATCTTACTCATAGGTACATTGCTCACGATCACTTTCTGGTCGCGATTACTCCCATTAGTATATCCCGCCATTACCTGCTCCTGCTCCTATCAAAAACGCCAAAACTGAGGTGCCGAAGAAGACGAAAACAACAGCAACAACGTATGAAGTACTCAACCCCGCCTCCTCCTCTCAAGCATCCTCGTCCAAGCCTTCGAAATCCGCGTCCGCTGAATCTGAAGATTCAGAGGAAGAAATAACCGAAGATCTCCCTGAACTTACACCTTCACTTGAGGCATTCTCCCGTTTACCGATCCACGGATACGAAAAATCATGGGAGTACATCCAAGCTCACAGGGACGTGATAGTCCCTGGTGCGTCTGATGCCTTGCTTGTGGCGGCCTTCCGCGCACAATCCGATGGAATGACTGCAGAGTCCAACGGAGAGAAAAGAAAGGCATTGGCACAGAAGAAATACGCGAAACAATGTGTTCACCAAAGTTTACTGTTGCAGTATTGCGATAAGCTTGGTGTAGATGGTGTAAGGGTGTTCTTCAAAAAGTGAGTTCCGCACGCTTCATGAAATATCTGCGGGGACGGCTGATGAATGTGTTGCATAGGATGATATCTGGCGACAAACGTGCGGATGCCGTCTTCGTGAAAGACGTCGAAGATACCTATGCACACCTGGAAACCCGTGTTTCTGCTTCTCTCGCTGCCTCTGATGATGCTGGAAAGGAACAAATCCAGCTGGTGCCTGAAAACCCGGAGACCACTATCAGCTTCAACGTTCCCGATGGTCCACCACCTGAAGACTTGCGTCTAGAGGGTCCAGGGACGGAGAATATGGATATCGAAGAAGTGAGAAAGGCTCTGCAGATGCGGTGGGATGTGTTTTCAGGATTTAGTCTGGAGTTACAAAAGGCTCTACAAGATGGAAAGCTGGATAGTGTCAACAAGGTGCTTGGTGGGATGCAGGTGGACGAGGCAGAGGAAGTCGTGAGGCTTCTTGACATTGGAGGGATTTTGAACTTTGCAGACGGAGGGATTAGAGATGAGACAGGAAAAGAAGACGAGGAGGAAGAGTGAATGTCAGATTAGAGCCTACTCGTGATAGCGCTTCTCTCAAGCGCATTGTATAACATCCGTAATTATAACGACTTCCTTGTTATAAATATAAAGGGAACACGTGTCTTCCTTGCTCTGAGCGTACTCTTACTCGAAGAGTCGACGGGTATACGAGAGATCGAATGGAGTCTCGACTTTATTAGTATCTTAATCCGTTCCGAACAGGGGTAAATATTATCACAAGGTAAAAGACACCACAAAGTATGGTCCACTATTATACAACTTGAAAAGATAAAGATAAAGACAAAGATTGCATATTGTGTGTTCTTTCAAGATTAGGAGTCTAACATCTCGGTCAAACCTACAGTGCTCATTCCTGGTACTCGTGGTGCAATACAACATGGAAATGGGATCGGATGGCTGATATTCGAGGTCAGGGACAGCTACATAGAAGGGGAAAAATCTTGAAGAAAACACTCACATTGTCACTCCATTTGTCCATTTTGGGGTGACTTCAATATCGTTACCGAGATCATCTTTTGCCTTTGTGATGTTGAACACAGTTAAGATAGAAACCATGGCGGCCCATACTGTAGCATCAGCAATATGACGGCCTACGCAAATCCGCCTGCCAAATCCAAAGACAAGACCAACGGTGTCATCATTAAGCTTTCCATCAAGCGCGAAGAACCGTTCTGGTTTAAATTTGTATGGCTCTGGGTATTTATCGTCATTGTGAGCCATTGCCCTGTTCGCTTTGAGTGAGCTGACTAGACTACACCAAACCAGAAGCTATAAGTACGAACCATATATTGGGCACTATTAATGCTCCTAGCTTACTATTAGATCGATGTCACGGTGCCGTGGTGAGAGTTCAAGAACACTAACCCTTTGGTATAAAATGTCCTTCAAAAATATCATCATTAGTGGCAGCATGCGGAATACCTAATCGTGGGTAGTTAAGTGAGAAATGATCTTATAGAACTTGAAAGAAAAAAGTTGCTCACCAAGGGGAACTACAGGATGCCATCGGAGAGTCTCACGAAAAACTGCTTCAACATAAGGCAGTGATGTCCTGTCACTGAAGTCTGGGAGTCTACCTTGGCCTACCACTGCGTCGATTTCCAACTGTGCCTTTCTTTGTACATCAGGATTCTGGAGCATCACGAGCATGAATACCATGAGCACTGAAGAAGACTAAGATTTTCCGTTAAAATGTGTTGATGCCATCCATGAAAATTGGCTCACAGTTTCTGCGGCGGCTATAGATAGAGCTGATGAGTCGTTATCATAAGGCATACACACCAGACAACCTACCGGAGAAGGCAGTGGCAGAGGAATTTTTGATTGCAAGCTCGTATGAAGGGTCCTCTTCTTTCATACGGCCTAGTAGATCAGACAGCATACACGGCATTGCTATCCCTGCCGACTAAATGTATGTCAGACAAGAACTTGAGAAATAACAGAAAAAGGGCACACAATATTCTGCTTTGTGTACTCAAAAGGAGCTTCAATCATTTCCACAGTCAACTTTTGACACTCGAGGGCACTGCGCTTGAAGGCTGCTCCGGGAAACCAGGGGGGAATGTGTAGCACTAGGTACTCGCACGTTGGTGTGAGACATATACAGTTGCGGTCAAATACTCACAAAACGGCAATGCACCAATGACTGCTGTTCTCTCGGGTGTGTGCTCTCGTGTGAGTGTTGCTGATGCACGCTCCACAACCGTGACTAGAGGGTCATGGCGTGGCGCTGGGTTGTAACCATATATCACTTCCATGATAATAGACGTGCTAAGCCTATGATGATACATTAATATAGTGATGTCCCGCTATTCCAGCGGTTAAGGAGTACTGACGTGTTCATGTGATCAACATATTCTTTTGGTGCCTCCAGTAAATTGAGAAGGAACTGGTGAACTCGGCGTAATTGTATAGGTCGATACTTTAGAGCTGCTTCTGTTCGAAATGCCTGATGTAACAGTCGTCTATGTAGTCGCCATGTGCTGCCATAGGCAAGGAGTGCCGAGTGGAATGTCATCCCAAATCTATAGTAGTCAACGAAGGAAGTCATGATTCAAATACATTATCAAAAGTCTACATTAGCCACGTACAGATCGATCGTAGGATATTGTGGCCGGTCAGAGTAGTTATAAGAACGCTGCTCGAGAAGGTCTCTGGCTAATTTCTCGGAGTTGAGGATGATAATTTCCTGGTTGAGTAGGCGAGAGTAGATTATATTACCTGTACAACAAAGACCGAGCTCAAATATAAGTACACGAACTATACAGCAACGGAAAACTGAATCAACGTACCGTGAACTTGTGCCCACTCCATATAGGTAACCCAGGGCTCAGCTAATTTAATCCCAAGTATGTTGCCCAACACAGGCAACGGGCGAGGGCCAGGTGGTAAAATGCGTGATTTACTTGCCATTTGACGGTTTGCAAGAATAAGGCCAACCACAAGGAGCGAAAATAAGCAGAGAACTGGGACAAGACCAGTGGACATGGTAGGGAATCCAAAGAGAAGTGATAGTAAAATTTTCACGAACACCGTCTGCCATTTAAATAGAGTAGTCGAGTAGCGCCACTATTATAGATTTCTCATCCACATTCTTGTGGCACAGGCTTCCACTGATACGTGGAGTTTGATTCATACGAAGCGCGAGTTAATGATAGGGAATGCTGTTTCTTGATACGAAACTTGACGTTGCAATGGCAGGAATATCACGGCTGCTTTTTCGCTATGCTTCAGATACAGCCTCCTGTCGAAAGGCTGATGATGCATATCCTTCAGATAGGTCAAGAGGATTTGAGCCACTCCCGCGAAGCGTAATGAAGTACTTACAATGTCGAGTTATCCAGATAGGAAACCAGCGCTATACTGGCGGTAATAGTTGCCGACTACATTTGCGCGGGCGTTCGATACGGCTAAAGCATTCTACACCTGCATCAGCTCAATCTAAGAACATTGTAACACGTTGAAGCGCCAAGATGTGTGCCTCGAAAGGCTCTCACGGGTAAAGCTTGCAAAGAGCTGGCAGTGCATCTCGTCCGAGTGAGGTTTGCCTGTGAGTGCTGAACGACAGCAGAGTACTGTAGGAGACCGAGCCTTGATTGAGTCTGACTATCAGAACCTTACAGTCTCTCCGCTCGATACATGGAGAATATTTGAAAAAAATGGATATGATTGTGAAACGTTTTATTTTCGTATTGTGGCTGCTATGTCACGTATGGGAATCAATCATTTGCAACAGCTTCTTGGGGCTCGTCCCTGACCGAATGTCAATGCGACACAGATACGGGAGCTATGAGCTAATTTAAATAGCCACGTAGGAACCAGTACAGAACAAACTCACGTAGTTATTCCAACTGTCCATTTCGGCGTCACTTCGATTTCATTGCTTTGTTTATCTTTGCTGAACGTGACTAATATAGATACAAAACTGGCCCACAACGATGCATCAGCGATGTGAGGGCCTACGCAAACTCGCCTTCCAAATCCAAAGATAAAGCCAACGTTGTCGTGACTCAACTTTCCATCAGGGGAGAAACGTTCGAGCTTGAAATTGATGGAGTCTGGATACTTGTCTTCATTGTGTGTCATCGCCCTGTGAGCGTTGGAGTCAGATGCGATGGACATTAATGGTTCACAACACATCGAAACAAACCATATATTTGGTATCACAACTGCTCCTGCTTCAAATCAGATCGGTAAGTAGGAAATAAGTCAAGTATTGCGTACCTTTGGGTATAAAATATCCCTCGAAATGATCGTCATGTTTAGTAGCATGTGGAATTCCTGCTCATGCTCACAATACATATATTGAGGAAGATGAATGCAGATAAATCTACTTACCAAGGGGGGGGCTACAGGGCGCCACCTGAGCGTCTCACGAAAAACTGCTTCAACGTAAGGCAATGATGGCCTATCACTGAAGTCTGGAAGCCTGTCTCGACCAATTATGGAGTCGATCTCTAGTTGTGCCTTGCGTTGTACATCAGGGTGAAGGAACATCGCAAGCATGAGAACGTTGAGTGTCGAAGAGGACTGAGCTTGGTGGTTAATGTATAATCAAAGGAATATTGGAACCAAGACTCACAGTTTCTGATGCAGCCATTGGGAAATTGCATATTAGGAGATGCAGAGCTTATAATCAGGAATACTCACCAGCGAACGCGCTGGCAGAAGCATGTTTGATTGCAAGTTCTTGATGGTAGTCCCCTTGCTCCGTTCGACTCAGTAAGTCGGATACCATCGATAGCTTTGCTGTGCTTGCAGCCTAACCCGATCTTAAAGATAGATTTTACGTATGAAAAGAAAAGAACACACTATACTCTGCTTTGTGTATTGGAAGGGATTTTTGACCACCCCTACAGTCAGCTGTTGACACTCAAGCGTCTTACGCTTGAAGCTTGCTCCAGGAAACCAGGCAGGGATGTGTCGCACTACAAACCAGCATGAATAAAACCGTATATATATATGAACTGCTTACAAAACGGTAATGCGCCGAGGATTGCTGCTCCCTCGGGATTTAGTGCCTTGGCAAGTATATTCGTTGAGCGTTCCACGGCCTCAACCAAAGCGTCATGGCGGGGCGCCGAGTCATAACCATATGTCACTTCCATGACGGCAGACGCAGCCAGTCTAAAATGCACCATTGTGAACATTGACAAAACTCCAACACCGTGATATTTACGTTTGTAAATGTTCAGAATATTCTTCGGGTGTTTCAAGAAAATTGACCAGTAGCTGATATACTTTGCGTATCTGGACAAATCGATATGTCATAGCTGCATCCGCTCGAAGTGCCTATTGGAACATTCTCCTATGTAAACGCCAGGTATTGTCGTGATTGAGAAATATTGAACTGAACCCCCATCCACACCTGTAGTGAAGGACATATTTGAAAAATAGTAATTGTCTAGATATGTAAGAAAACTACGCACATGTCATTTGTGATATATTGTGGCCTGTCAGAGTAGATATTGGAATGACGTTCGAGGAGGTCATTGGCTACTGTTTCAGAGTTGATAGTGATAATCTCCCGATTCAGTAGGCGAGAGTAGACTAGATCACCTGGAAAGCCTCGTATAAGCAAAGGTCCTTAGAAAGATGTATTTTTTAATTCGTACCGTGAACTGTTGACCATTCCATGTAGGTAACCCAGGGGCTGTTTGCGTCGAAACCGAGTATGCTTCCCAGCATAGGCACATCTCGAGGGCCGGGAGGTAGGAGAACCTTGCGTTTCATTAAACCATTCGCAAAACCAAAGGCAACTAGAAAGGCGAGCAACAGAAGCGGGATTGTTATATCAGATAGCAAAGGTTCGATAGACATACTGCCTGGAAGACAAAGTGGGACATGCTGCATAGCCACCGTGGTCTTCCGCCGAAGAGGTTTGATGTAACGGTTGTGACTCACATGTCACCTGTAGTGAATTTGTTGCTTACACACTCATGTTTCTATTACTCGCACAGGAAAGCCCACCTCCTTGGAGGACCCTGAAATCACCTGGATACTTACACTGTGGGCTTTGGCTTATTTAAGCCCAGCTTATATCCTGAAAATATGGGAGTTCTGGGTTTTAATTGGTTAGAAAAAGCTAAAATTGAATGTTTTCAGGATATAAGCTGGGGCTTAAATAAGCCAAAGCCCTGCAGTGCTAAGGATGAAAAGACACATGGGATCATCCAGGACCACATCTCCATTGCCCTCCTAATGAGGACCAGAGACCTCACCAGCTCCAAGGAGTTATTTGACAAACCCATTTCACTCTATCAGACATCCAAACTGAGTTGCACTTGTCACAGCTGTGCTGAAACTGTCAGGTGCCTGCGGCATCTTCCACACATGTGGTGCCACAAAAAACCATGCAAGCAAAACTAAGTGATATAACCAATGCAATGTGGTGTTACAACCAAGAGTTTGTATACTCTGGCGCACAACTCAGACAAAGCTGTAAAGAAGTGAGGGGTGTGGTTACCCTTTAGATAGGACAGAGTTTGTTGTGGGTAAACAACAGGAGGACTCGCTGAGGAGTCTCCTTGATCTATTGGGGTTTATATACTACTACAGGTTGTTTGTACATATGTACTATACAGTTGATAGAGGCAGTGGCTGATGATATCATGGGGCACAGCCCGTGTGACCAGTTCCACTGTGTGTGATACTTGTAGCTAAAAATAAGAAAAAGCAGTGCAGCACGAGAAGGGGAAGTTTGAACAAAATGGAAAGTGCCACATGGCACAGTGTGTGAAAACTACAGAAGAAAGTTTAAGAGGAGAATGAAATTTAAAGGTCCGAAAATTGTGTATTGTAACACATGGCTTCCACACAGCCATTTGGGACCACTGTCCCCTTTGTTTTAGATTGCCTCTGCCTTCTAATCATTCCAGAAATTTACCAAATTGTCCTAGGATGGAATATCACCTATCCAGGACCACATTGCAAAAAATCCGGACTATTGATTCACACCTCTCCAGAATGAAACTAGGAGTTGATACCAAATTTATGGCTTTTGCTCTTCTCCAATCTCTTCCATGTGTCAGGCAACAAATATAAAGCTATATAACAATAACAAATGTCTGGCCAAGTTCTTGAAGAAGGCGGTGGATCAGAGTATTGAGATTGGAGAGTATTGGCATAAGCGTGAATCCAAACTAATATCAAACTAAGGAATAATACATCAAATATCTACTCCTTATATAATGAATCACAGAGGTCAGACCGAAAGGAAGAGAGAAATAAAGAATGGTCTGACCAAACAGTTAGCTGTTACAATAACACAATTTTTGGTTCTTTAAATTTTATTCTCCTATTTAACTTCCTTCTGTAGTTTTCACACACTGTGCCATGCGGCACTTTCCATTTTGTTCAAACTCTACCTTCTCACACTGCACTGCCTTTCTTTATTTTTAGATACAAGTATCTTACGCAGTGGAGCTGGTCACACGGGCTGTGCCCTATGACATCATCAGCCACTGCCTCTATCAACTGTATAGTACATATGTACAAACAACCTGTAGTAGTATATATATACCCCAATATATCAAGGGGGACTCCTCAGCAAGTCCTCCTGTTGTTTACCCACAACTAACTTGGTCCTATCCTAAGGATAACTACTCCCCTCACTACCTTTATAGCTTTGTCTGAGTTGTGCACCAGAGTAACTAAACTCTTGGTTGTTATAAAACCTGACAGTTCCATGGTTTTACCAATGGTCTGGTTGTATATATACTACTACAGGTTGTTTGTACATGTATACTATACAGTTGGTGGGAGCAGTGGCTGATAATGTCATAGGGCACAGCCCGTGTGACCAGCTCCACTGCGTGAGATACCTGTATCTAAAAATAAAGAATGACAGTGCAGCACGAGAAGGTGGAGTTTGAACAAAATGGAAAGTGCCACATGGCACAATGTGTGAAAACTACAGAAGAAAGTTGAACGAGGTCCAGCCTGTGGCTCTGCCACTGGTGCAATGTTTTTGCTATATGATAAATAATAATAATAATAATAATAATACTGTTAAGTGATCAAAATGTTAAGTTAGTGAAGTTATGCTGTCTGTAATGTATGTTAAGTCTATGAATCCTATGATGCATGTTTGACTTGCAGTTCTGTCATTGAATGTCCTTATAAGCCTGCCCTAAACTTGCACAATATACTGAATCAAGCAGATGGTTCATTGAATCTTTACAAACATCAACATATATTGTAACGTGTAAAGTCTATGGTATTACATTGATAAATTGATGAGAAATAAAAAAAGAGACTACAGAAATGGTAAAGGATGAAAATATGATCTGAGAATAAAACATTTTAGTAAAAAGGGTGAGAATTGGGGTAAAATCTACTTGCCAGTCACGGATAAAGCCAGTCAGAATTTTGGGATACACCACATTGACAGTACGTCTGTCATTTGAACCATGTGGAAATAGCACTTTTATTCTCTCTCCTGAAGTGCAGCAAGACAATGCAACGTAAAGTTGCCCATGTGAAAACACTGGAACACGTAAATCCAGCCCAACCTGTGTCACTGATTGACCTTGAGACTTATTGATGGTCATGGCAAAGGCAACACGGACAGAGAATTGACGACGTGATAGCTTGATGGGCAATTCTTCTGATGAAGGTTCCAATGTGAGGCGTGGAATAAAAGCTATCTTTCCTGCATGTTTTCCTCCCAAAACACGGCACTTCAATACTCTTCTCTTCATCTCTATCAAAATCATGCGTGTTCCATTACAGAGTCCATTTAGGGGATCAATATTGCGGAGGAACATAAGTGGACATCCAGCTTTAAGTTTGAGGTGCGCTTCAGGAAGGCCAGATACTTGCAAGGAGTTCAAGAATTCCACAGGATAATGTTCATACCCCTCTCCAACCACTTTATCAATTGACAGAGCTACTAACTCTTCTCCAGGGAATTTTGTGAGGATTGCTGAATTAAGGTCGCTAACGGCATCATTTTTTGCGGAGAGGATGGTGTGGTGGAGGAAATAATGGTCATCTTTGTCTCCATTTGCAATTCCAGGATAGATAGTGTTGATTAATGAGTCTATGGTGTTTTCTGGCATAAGCATGTTGGCGGGAAGCTCAATAGTTCCATCTCCTGCAATTCCACGACCACTACCAACATCCAGGAGCCAGCTAGCAAAGGCTTCACTTTCTGGAGTACAGTCCAGGCGCATGTTCTGTGTAAAATAGCAGACATGGATATTTGTCCACAGTTGTGACCTTCTAAGAGAGGCAGAAATGATGTGTTGCCTTGACCCTCTTGGAACAACAGGTGTTGTTTGGCGGAAGTCCCCTCCAAAGACCATTGTAATGCCTCCAAATGGAAGTTAATTATCCAAAATGTCCCGCAATGTACGATCTAATGCTTCAATCCCATGACGGTGTTGCATTGGCGCTTCATCCCAGACTATAACTCCGGTATGTCTCAATACCTCATGGAGGTCAGAGTTTTTTGGAATCATGCATGTGGATGTTTTATGTACAGGAATAGGGATTCCAAAGCATGAATGAGCTGTGCAGCCACCCTCCAAGAGCAGGGATGCTACACATAGAGCAACATTATGATTATCCCTTGCTCGAACAGCGGCTGCAATTGTATTACAGAGATATGTTTTGCCCCCACCTCCAGCACTGTGAATAAAGAAAGTTGTTCCCTCATTATGGTGGATTGACTGCATAATGGTATCAAAAGCATTCTGCTGCTCTTGATTCAGCCTCTCTACATTATCTTCAACCTCCAAAGTAAGATCAAATCTGTCATAATTTTGCTGCTTGTGGAGAAGATTGTTTGCAATAATAGGCTTTCATTGTTGCTGAGGAAAAGGCATTGGTGGAAAGTTTGAAAGACACTTGTTGGCTTGAGTAAGTATGGATTCCAGCAAGAATAGCCCATAATCATAAATCTGGTCTTCTGAAGGTTGGGCAATCCCTCTTGGGAGAAGGCAATGGTGTAAATCATCACAAATCTTGTGTTTGTGCCAGTTTCAAAGGTTTGCAGGCTCATTTGGGAGACATTGCAGTAAGATAACTGCAAAGAGAGCATAGAGTTTAGGGCCTGTCTGCATATTTCCTGCTTCTGCCAAACACTGATCCTTTTCACCATCATCTTCTAACAGGCCACGTGCAGCACATGCAGCTTTATAAGTTGGATGTAAAACCCCATCAAATGTGTACAAATCTTCCCAACTCTCTGCTCCAGGGACCACAGTGAGCAGTGTACGGAGGTAAAAGCGCTCCCCTTGGCTTGGATGGACAAACATCATTCTCTCTATAGCAAATTTTTGTTTACTTGGAGTCCATTTTTTGGCACCTTTGTTCCAGACAAAGTATTGAGGATAATCCTAATAAGGTATGTGATGGCCTTCAGGG